AAAAGGGAAAAAAAAAAAAAAAAAGATTTGTACTTTAAACAGTTTAAACAGTATCATATCTTAAACTGTTTAAGGGCAGGTTGTTTTGTATCAATTCAAAAACATGCTGATACGCAACTGCACCTTAAACTTGTCAACTTTTGTTATGTGCAGAAGTGAATTACCAGTTCAAATTGGGATTTCCCAAACTTAGTGTGTAGAAAAGAGATCCTGGTATCAATCACCTAAGATCCCTTCCTTATTCCAACAAACAAGCTCACTAACTGAGTAGTTTCCTAATGAGAAAAGAACAACACATATCTCTGGAGACTTCTCTGCAGCCTCAGCACTTTCTTTTTCTTTAAATTTCAAATTAATTTGAGGGTACAAATTTTTAGATTACATTGTTCTCACTTCCAAGGTAAAGTTCCAGTTGCAAAAGGACCCAAGCCTTCCTTCTTAGGAACAGACTTGGTTGGTCCTCCCTCCTGGGTCCTGGAGTAAGATCACAAAACAAATCAGAGGCTTGATACTTGAAATGAAGTGACATTCAATCCTCCCCGTCCCTCCCCCACCCCCCGCAAATTAAACCAGTCCAACAGTGGGGCTGTGGGCCACACCGCTTTCTTGGCTGTTGGAGCAAGAGCGAAACAGAGTAAGGAAGGAGAAATACACCGAGACGAGCTGCCCTATTCAAAACCAGACCCTCCTATTTAACGGCCCCCACCCCGTCGGGGATCTCTGGGAGGAGAAGAGAAACCGTGGGGCTGCGGAAAAACAGCCAGTCCCGCCTCTTTCCGCCGCCCGACTCGGACTCACAGGGTCATTCGCACGCTCCATTTCACCTCGACGGCCTCCAGCTGGCCCCAGAAGAACCGGTCGTTAAACTGCACAAACAGGGCCTGCAAATCCGGGGTGGGGTCCACCAACTCCCAGGACGCGTCCACCAGCGACAGGGGCTGTTGCATCTGCTCGCCCTCTGCCACCTGCAGGTTCCACTCCTCCTGTAGCCGCAGCGCCAAAATCAGGTCCTCATCCATCACTGCCAGGATCTCTGCCGACTCCCGGGTCAGGCTGCGACCCCAGGCAACCAGGGCGCGAAGGGCGGAGACCAACTCCTAGAAGATACCGGCTCTCGGGCTGCTCTCGTGAGGCCCGCCAATCTCGCGAGAGTTCAGGGGAAACTGGCTCGACAATGCAAAGGAGAAGTGAGATTACTCCAAAAGCTAAAGCCAAGATTTTAGAGTTTAGGAAAAGCAGTCAACGTGACACCTCCTAGCAGGAGCAGAAAAAGGGTTTCCAGGCCTCAGGCCGAGAAAACTTTCAGGAAGCTGTAATTTCCACGCTCCGCCGGCAACTTCAAACTTCGAGTACATCCTCAGCGCATGCGCAGTACCGATATATTCGGCCTCGCCCCGCCACCCCCACCTGCGCATGCGCTAAGCCTCCTGCGATGTCGCACAGGCGCATTGTCTGCGCTTGACTTCTTGCGCAGGCGCAGTGTCTGAAGCTCAGACCCGGAGCGCAGGCGTACTCGTCCGGCTCCCATCCTACTTCCTCAACCCCGGAGCTCAGTGCAGCTTGGGTGGGTCTCGACAGCGGCGGTGGTAGTGACAGTGGCGGAGACCCAGCCGGAAATCGCGATGGCGATGTCAGACAGTGGGGCGAGCCGTCTGAGGCGGCAACTGGAGTCGGGGGGCTTTGAGGCCCAGTTGTACGTGAAGCAGCTTTCTCAGCAGTCAGACGGGGACCGGGACCTCCAGGAGCACCGACAGCGCATCCAGGCGCTGGCCGAGGAGACGGCGCAGAACCTAAAACGTAACGTCTACCAGAACTACCGGCAGTTCATAGAGACGGCCCGCGAGATCTCCTACCTGGAGAGCGAGATGTACCAGCTCAGCCACCTGCTGACTGAGCAGAAGAGCAGCCTGGAGAGCATCCCGCTTACCCTGCTGCCCGCCGCCGCCGCTGCCGCCGGGGCCGCTGCTGCCTCAGGCGGGGAGGAGGGAGGAGGCGGTCCGGGGGGCCGAGACCACCTCCGAGGCCAGGTTGGCTTTTTCCCCACCCCCGGGGGCGCCTCCCGCGACAGTTCTGGTCCGGGTGAGGAAGGAAAGTATCGCACTCTCACCACCCTGCTTGAGAAGGTGGAAGGCTGCAGGCATCTGCTGGAGACGCCGGGAAAGTACCTGGTGTACAACGGGGACCTAGTGGAATACGAGGCGGACCACATGGCCCAGTTGCAGCGGGTGCACGGCTTTCTTATGAACGACAGTTTGTTGGTGGCCACCTGGTTGCCGCAGAGGAGAGGTATGTATCGTTACGATGCTCTCTATCCTCTAGATCGTTTGGCAGTGATCAATGTCAAGGACAACCCGCCCATGAAGGACATGTTCAAACTGCTAATGTTCCCTGAGAGCCGTATTTTTCAGGCAGAAAATGCTAAAATCAAACGAGAATGGCTGGAAGTGCTAGAAGAAACCAAGAGAGCCCTCAGTGAAAAAAGACGAAGGGATCAGGAGGAAGCAGCGGCGCCTCGAGGGCCACCACAAGTGACTTCCAAGCCCAGTAACCCTTTCGAAGATGAAGAAGAAAAAGAACCAGCTGTTCCTGAGGTAGAGGAAGAGACGGTGGACCTCTCGATGGAATGGATCCAGGAGTTACCTGAAGACCTGGATGTGTGTATTGCCCAGAGGGACTTCGAAGGGGCTGTTGACCTACTGGATAAACTGAACATTTACCTGGAAGATAAGCCCAGTCCACCTCCTGTAAAAGAACTAAGGGCCAAAGTGGATGAGCGTGTTCGACAGCTCACTGAGGTACTAATGTTCGAACTCTCCCCAGGTCGTTCCCTGAGAGGTGGTCCCAAGGCTACTCGCAGGGCAGTTTCTCAACTAATCCGGCTGGGCCAGTGCACTAAGGCTTGTGAGCTGTTTTTGAGAAACAGGGCAGCAGCTGTTCATACTGCAATCCGTCAGCTTCGCATTGAAGGTGCCACTTTACTCTATATTCATAAACTGTGCCATGTATTCTTTACCAGTCTTCTCGAAACTGCGAGAGAATTTGAGATAGATTTTGCAGGCACTGACAGCGGCTGCTACTCTGCCTTTGTGGTCTGGGCAAGATCAGCCATGGCCATGTTTGTGGATGCTTTTAGCAAGCAGGTGTTTGACAGTAAGGAGAGCCTTTCCACAGCAGCTGAGTGTGTAAAAGTGGCTAAAGAGCATTGCCAGCAACTGGGTGATATTGGACTAGACCTCACCTTCATCATCCATGCCCTTCTGGTGAAAGACATCCAAGGGGCCTTGCACAGTTACAAAGAAATCATCATTGAAGCCACTAAGCACCGAAACTCAGAAGAGATGTGGAGGAGGATGAACTTGATGACTCCAGAAGCCCTGGGTAAGCTCAAAGAAGAGATGAAAAGCTGTGGAGTAAGTACCTTTGAGCAGTACACAGGGGATGACTGCTGGGTGAACCTAAGCTATACAGTGGTTGCTTTCACCAAACAGACCATGGGCTTCTTGGAAGAGGCGCTAAAGCTGTATTTCCCCGAGTTGCACATGGTACTTCTGGAGAGCCTGGTGGAAATCATTTTGGTTGCTGTCCAGCATGTGGATTATAGTCTTCGGTGTGAGCAGGATCCAGAGAAGAAGTCTTTTATCAGACAGAATGCATCCTTTTTATATGAAACAGTCCTCCCTGTGGTGGAGAAAAGGTTTGAGGAAGGTGTGGGGAAGCCTGCCAAGCAACTCCAAGACCTGAGAAATGCATCTAGACTTATTCGTGTGAATCCTGAAAGTACAACATCAGTGGTCTGATTATTTGGGTCTGTTTGTGTGTGTGTATGTATTCCTTATATATTATTTATATTTATATTACGTTGCATTAGCTTATTCTTTTTTTTTTTTTTTTTGAGACAGAGCCTCAAGCTGTCCCCCTGGGTAGAGTGTCGTGGCATTACAGCTCACAGCAACCTCCAACTCCTGGGCTCAAGCGAGTCTCCTGCCTCAGCCTCCCAAGTAGCTGGGACCACAGGCGCCCGCCACAACGCCCGGCTATTTTTTGGTTGCAGCCGTCATTGTTGTTTGGCGGGTCCGGGCTGGGGATTCGAACCCGCAACCTTAGGTGTACGTGGCTGGCGCCTTAGCCGGTTGAGCTATAGGTGCTGAGCCACATTAGCTTATTCTTTATGGTTTCAAACACAGCTTAAAAAGTGCCCTCTTAGAAATGCAAAATCACAAAGAGAAATAAAGTGTTAGGCCCAAATAACAAACATACTGGAATTATTAAAACATACAGTATGCCATCCTTTTAAAGTGTGCTGATTCTTTACTGAAAATATGCTTACACTATACTATTTCAGTTTTATCCCATCAGTCAAAATACACTTTATTATTCTATGTATTATGTGACACAGAGTCATAATATCTATAAATATATGATATGAATATGTTGTAAGTTTCCCAGTTCACTAAAATGTTAGGTTTGAAGTGCCATGTAAAACACCCTGCCTCATACTTTCCCCCTCCTTAAAATGTAATTGAACAATTTGGGGGAAAGAAAGAAGTGCTCAAAGCAAAAGGAAGACAGAATCTTTGGACTCCTAGAATGCTCCATGTTGCATTTTCTTGTGTGATTTTTAAAAGTGACTGTAGTGTTTACCTCAGATTGTTTAGTCAAACAATAACTAAAGCAACATGAACGTCCTGAGGTTTCTAAACTAGTGCTTCTATTGTATGTTTAACATGTAACATTCTTCATACTTTGAGAGGAGTTGTCTCTGTTAACATATTTTCTTCCCCAGCTGCTGCTTGTGATCCTTGTCCCTAAGTGCCATTTTAGATGCCCGTGATTTCAAAGGTCATTTCTTTTACCTGAATAAAAATGGTGGTAGTAAGACTGAAAGTTATGTAAAACCTAAAACAGATTCCAAACAGTGGCTCAAGGGTCATTAAACGCCTTGACTTAAATTACTTGTGTGCCAGACCAACCCTGTTCTTTTCTTTTTAGCTATGCATATGAAAAGGTTGAAAATTATCAGTTACAGATTTCCTTTGACTAATGTTTTTCACATACCTTTAGGATTTTCTAGATAGCCATATCTAGATATCTCAGATGAACAAAGGCAGTTATAATTTATCTCTTTTTAAGGTTAGTAAAAAATGAATTTGATAAAATTTTGTGATTATTATGATTTTGTGCCATTTACAGGTCCTGATGTTGTACAAAACACATGTAGTGTAAATTATATGATGCTGGAGCCATGATATACTTCCAACGATTCAATTTTGAATTCAAAATTTCTCTTTTAAGACATGAAGGTGTAAAAATTTAAATGTGTATACTCTATTATTTAAATGCTTGCTTCTTCACAGAACTGTCTGCTTTTTAAAACTGGAAATACAGACTATTCTTTTGTTAAAATTTGTGTGTTCGGTCAGAGTTGCTGCTGAAGAAAGTATAGTTTTGGTGTATCAAATAGTGTGAAGTTAATTAAAGACCATCAGTGTTGTATCTTTGTGCCCAATCATGTTGCATTCCTCAAAGTGAAGTCAAAGGTGCTGTGGTTTTTTGTTTCTATGAGGCTCCAAAACAAGTTCTAAAAATTGAATGCACTTAGAGCTTGTCCAGAAATACCGTATTAATACATACAGAAATATAGCACTTAAGTGTTGATTACCTTTTTTTGCTTCAAGCATAACTTGTCACTTGCTCTTGGAATCACAGACTGGATTGAATTAATTACTGCTGGGGGCTGGGGGAAGGCACTTTGTGGAATTAAGTCTCTTTTTGATTAAAGCCTTACTTCATGTAAGTTCTGAAAACTCACTTATTTTTGTTTAAATCCTATCTACAAATTCATTACCAGCCCTTGTATTTTATAACTTGATATTTTACCTAGGATTGGGAATTAGGGACTTGACATGTAGTATAAAATCAGTATATGTACATTTTGCTTATTGATATGCTGTGATATGAGGGAATCTGAAATGTTTTGTAAAAATAAAGCTTAAAAACTTTCTTACACTGGATAAAATTAATATTATGATGTTATATTTATTTCTCTTCTTTAATCAGGTCTTATTCTTACATCCTTGTTACTGAAATATCCTTTAAAGAGCCTAGTTTGGTTTTTGTGTTTTATTTATGTGAGGATGATAGGTAGTAAGCTTTGCTGTTCTGCTTACTGTCAGTATTGTGACTAAATCAGTTCTCAATTTCTTAGGACACCTTGAATGGAAAATTTCAGATGTGAATTTCCTCTAAAAAGTAGATTTAATGCCATCTGCACGTGCCTAAATAAAGAACAAAAAATGAAGTCCATGAGACCTAGGAACTAAATGACATGGCCCTGCTTTTTAAAAATATTATATAGATACTGAGGAAATGGTCCTGTATTTAAAACTACTGAATGCTGTGCCTCATATTGACTGTAAAGTGGGGCGAAGGAGGTCAAAATAAATTTAAGTATACTTTCTCCTCTTAAAGTGCATAAAAATTGAGAGAAAATCAAATATAATTTAGAGAGTAATTAAACGTACAGCAGTGTAGGGTGGGAATATTGAGAAGGAAGAGAGCAGAGTAATTTTAAGGAGTTTATTAGGTTCTGATGGAATTGTTGGTATTTCAGCTGGTCGTTGAAGAATGCACAAGACTTAGATGTGCAAAGAAAAAGGAAGAGCGTGACCTGAGCCAAGTTGCAGAAGTGGACATACAGGTGTTGCGTGGAGAGGTCTGCTTTGACAGAGCGTGGGGGGGCGGTTAAAGGAGCAGCAGCGCAGGCCTACGAAGGGAGTGTCAGTCTTGCAGAAAGAAAGAAAGTAAACCCAACATCCACTTCCCCACCCATCCCCGCAGTCCTTCTCACCAGAGGGGACCACTGGTAAGAGTCTCATGTACATTTTTTCTCCCAGATGCTGGATTATACTGCATCTTGTTTTTAGACACTTAATTCAGTATTTTTAAGTGTACTTTACTGGGTTTTTGTTTTGTCATGGACTTGTGTCCGGTCAGAGTGAATGGATATAGCATAATTTTGCATTTTTCAGTTTGTTGGTTTCAGGTTTTGGTGATCACGAAAAAACCTTTAAAAATTCTGTGTGTGTGTGTGTGTGTGTGTATAAAGTATTTGCTTGCTCATGTGAATGTATCTATAAGATGCATTTTTATTTTTTTTTTGAGACAGAGCCTCAAGCTGTCCGCCTGGGTAGAGTGCCGTGGCATTACAGCCAGCAACCTCCAACTCCTGGCTCAAGCGAGTCTCCTACCTCCGCCTCCCAAGTAGCTGGGACCACAGGCGCCCGCCACAACGCCCGGCCATTTTTTTGGTTGCAGCCGTCATTGTTGTTTGGCGGGTCAGGGCTGGGGATTCGAACCCGCCACTTTAGGTATATGTGGCTGGCGCCTTAGCCAGTTGAGCTATAGGCGCCGAGCCAAGATGCATTTTTAGAAATCACTCTGCCAAACTGTACATTTTAAATTTAGGTAAACATTGCCAAATGCTCATCAGGGAGGGCATACCATTTCACACTCTCCCCCACAGTATAGGAAAACCCGTACTTCCATGAATGCTCATAAAAATGTATTCATTTTTAATTAAATTTTTTTTTTTGAGACAGAGCCTTAAGCTGTCACTCTGGGGTAGAGTGCTGTGGCATCACAGCTCACAGCAACCTCAAACTCTTGGGCTTAAGTGATTCTCTTGCCTCAGCCTCCCAGGTAGCTTGACCAGAGTTGTGGCTGTCCTTGTGCTGCTTGTCATGGCTGCACCATGCAGGCTGAGTGACCTCCCAGGTCAGCCTGTCCTGTGGCCAGTGCAGTGAGCCCTGCTGCGACAGGGCTCTTATTATCTCAGAGGTGATTATCTTAGAGATGAGCCCTGCTCTTGGCCACACCGGCCCTCCCAGCCCTGTGGCAGCCCTGTCCTGCCAGTCAGAAGAGCACGGCGTGTTCCTCCTCTCTGAAGGGCCGGAGTTTCTGTCTGACATCTCTCGTTTGGGCTTCCAGGAAGGCCCCCCCGATACACAGTGATGTCCAGTCCTCCTTTGTTTACTGTTCTCTCTGCTGACCCCTCTGTCCTCAGCAGGGAGGTAGAGGAGGAGGACATGTGTGACATCACACAGGACACTTGGATGAGCAGTATCTGACACCTTGCTGGTCCCAGGACTTCTTTGACTCCTGCCAACCTGTCAGCAGTCTTTCCTTTTCCTGGGATGAGATGACCTCTGCCTGTGTGAGACGTGGTCAGTGAGTGCTCCCACTTCAGAGGGAGTGAGGCTCCCCATGGTCCCCAAGCAGCCTCCATGTTCTCAGTGATCACCTGTCCTTGTGGAGACGTCTCCCCACAGCCAGGCCCTGCAGGCCCCTCAGTATGAGCCAAATCTAGGGCCAGAGTGTGAGCACGGACACGAGGGGTGTAGGGGAGCATTGTACTCCCCCCAGTCCCAGATGACTCCTGGGTCACTCGGGCAGTCACTGGCAAGTGCACAATGTGGTCAGTAAGCAAGTCAGGGGAGGACATGAGAGTGTCCTGGCCACCTCGGCCACTTCTGTTGCCAGTGCACACTCCTCCTGATAGATGCTGGCCAGGACCTCTGTCTCTGCTTCAGGTGTCTCTCTGGTTGTTACTCTGAGCCCCTGGATCTGCTCAGGGAGGCTCTTTCCAATGTCTCTGAGATGGTTCCTGGACTGTGAGCTCCAGTCCCTCCCCTCCTGGTTAGCTTGTCCTAGGAAGCCACCATCTGAGTGCCAGAACTTAAACACCACCAGCACTGCCAGAGTCTGTCCCTGAAGTCAAAGCGTGGCCCTCACACACCGAACTTCCAGGAATGACCAAGGCTCCTGTGCTCTAGGGAGGACCTGAAATCCTTTTCAGTGTGAGAGTTTGCATA